GGGGTGGGGGTTAAGGGGAGAGATTGATATATGGTCATTTAACTCCGCACATGACGATAAACAATTGTTATTGAAATTTGAATCTAACTAGCCTTCCGTCAATCTTTCTGCATGTGATATTTGAGATCATCTTAAATTTCATTTTCAAAAGTCCAACTTTTTTTGTTCGATAAAGCCTATGAATGGCTTATTGATTTCTTACACCGAGGAATTATTTTCACACAAAATATTCCGTGTGCTGGCATTTATTTATATGAAATAAATTATATTTTTAAAGAGTCAATTTAAAACCAAGGGAAATTAATATTCTTAATGAATCTTATAAGGTTCAACGCATAAGTCCTGGGAATCTGAATATATATTAAGCGTTTATAGACATGATCAAGTGGTGGAGAGCACATCGTCTGAATTGCTGAAGCAAAGAATTGCATTCGCATTCAGGTACTCTGGAATATTGCCCTCGTCATGTTAATCCCACTAGGAGTTCACGAGTACAGGGACCACTGGACCAATCAGTAATCAAAGCCATTAAGTTGTTGTAAACCCGAAAGTGTATATAACTACTAAGCTCCCTGCCAGTCGACCCAATGACAATACATCCCATCCTTAACAGACAACCCAACCGACAGGACACGGCCACACGTCTGTTTTCTCTTTACCAGAAGAATTTGTATAGGGATTTCCGAGTATAAGCTAAGGCTTCAGTATTTCATGGCTTTGACTAATTCAATGGGTGTCGAGTAATTATATCCAATAGAATTGAAGTTTTAATCGATCCAGTTTTTCAATAAGCTGCTACGCTTCCCTCGAAGAAGCGTTTCATGCATTTCGAAATTTACAAGTCATCGAGGATTAAAAAGCATAAATCAAGGACATAAAAAACACGTCTATTTGATTATGAAAAGAATTAGAATATAAAAGACGAGCAAGTCTACTTTATTAGTCATTACATTTAAGGGAAGAAAAAATTTATTTATTAGGAAATTTGTAACATCCATATCTATTAAATTTCTATTATTTGGAAAACATTGCAATGTTCATTTAAAATTAAAACATATGATATATTAATTAATTAACTCATTAAAAATTGCAGCAACTTTGAAGACAGCTCGAAAAGAATATATCAAGAATAGATTTCATACGAAAGACTGATATAATGCCCGTTCCTAAGAGTATTGTGGTATAAAAATAGAAAAAACGCTTTGAAATTTCATTGTCTGGGAGTCTCTTTCTTCGTGATATTTTCAGCATTTTTTGGCCAATATTGTCAACTTAACGACCAAGGGAACTAAGATAAGTAAATGTCACTGCAAAATACAATTTTAAAATTTTTAACAAAGCCACAGATATGAATAATTACTATATACAAGTATAAATTTCGTGAACATATTTTAATTGAAAACAATTAGGCTACAAATTGTGGGATATTTTGTGCGGTAGTAAATGCCACACCCACATTAAATCCCTTATTTTACTCGTGACCATAGAAAGGGTGGGGCTCATCCCCACATCACTTATTCGTTACGTCTTTGGTAAAGGTATCAAAGGACATTTATTCAACATTTATGCCAATTGCGCTCTAATGTATAGCATAATTAGCATTTCATCGGCATTATTTAGTTTTGATAGACAAAAAAGTAAATTTATGTGGAATTTGATTTTAGATAATGAAAATATTTTATGAAATAGGTTTTGCGTCTTTGGATGGAAACAGTATAAGTGTATTTTGAAAAGAGAAAAGCTCTTCGGGTCAGTTAATAACCATAATGTTTAAAATTAGAATAAACATGGTTTGGATGAAGTTAAATCAAATTTTACCGAAGAGTTACTTTGCAGAATAGGGTATTTGGATGTTCAATATCGGAATAAAAATAGGCTTAGAACTTAACATTGCGGGCAGTTTGTTATTGCGCACTTAATTCAATCGCAAAGTTTATTGCCATTAAGCCAGTTAATCGACCGATAGCAATAGCTCGAAAATTAAGAGCTCGAAGTAGAGTACTTCTAGAAGCGAAATTTGATTAATAGGTTTAAACTGTTGTTTAATTCGTAAGAAATAAACGTCCAGACATTATTATCTAATGGGTATTTTTCTGGCAAGCCAAACAAAAATAGATAAAAATTACAGAACACAACGTTTTTGTATAAAATATTAAACATAAAAATGCAAGGTATGTTTAATGAAGGCTTAAACATTAAGAACTAGTCCATTTTGTTTGGAAACATAAAAATCGAAACCTTATCCGTTTCAACAGATGTCTGAACTTGCATTTCCAATTTTACTATCTAATCACTAGTCTGAGTGCTTAAGTCTACTCATTTATTTATTTATATCAAATGCCAGGCGTTTTGGTAGTTATCATTAGCCCTTTAGTTGACTTCAGGCTTCACAGAGGGGAAGGAACATCAAAGTGAAAAAAGTCGATATTGGGGAAAAGAAGAATGTTTCAAAGATGTAAAAGTGACAGACACAAAGGTAGAAAAAAATGAGGTCATTACTGTGGAAGTAGTCGAATATGACATACAGTGAGGTATAGATTAATATACTTTTTGTCGTTGCCCAGGGTGTACCACGTGGAGGTAAGTCTACAGCACACCCCAGGTAAAACACTCTTCAGTCTCAGCCCCCCCCCCCCCCCCCCAATTTTTTCACTTTGTTGTTCCTTCCTCTCTGTGAAGCCTGACATCAACTATAGGGCCAATAGTAACTATTAAAACGCCTGCCATTTGATATAAATAAATATAAACAGACAGTTAAAACGAAAATACGAAAATCTACGACGAGGTGGTAGAACTAAATTCTAGTCATTAGAGGTCATTTTTAAAAACGAATCCCAGATTACCTACTCAACTTTGTCAAATAATAATAGAGTTGATCATAATTAAATTATAATAATATAACACAAGATTCAGCCGAATTCAATGAATAAGTTAAAGTTTGACAAAATCTATATAGAAATTCTATTTTAATAACAGTATATAAAACGATTCTATGATAACCTTTGTCAAAAAATTTATAGTAGCAAAAAATTATCCTCACGTTAGTCACAATTACTTTAGTTAGTTTTATTCGTTTACTTAAGCCACTAAGGATTCAAAATATTTGGGTGTTCGGGTATCTGTACCGCGGACTTGGGTTGACTAGGCGGATTCATTGTAAACAATTAGCAAGTGTTTTTATGATTAGGGGTTCCGTTTGTCAATACTGGATTCGCATACAGCACGGACCCAAAGCGCATAACGCAGGGATAAAAAAATGACATCCATCATTCCCCATACCGAAGCTTACTTCATTCCTGTTCAGATTTGAGGCCTATTTTATTCTTTCCACGTTGGTGTTCTTGTTGTTAACTCTTCCTCGGCCACAATGATGAGTTCTAACCATATTGCGACAGGCGATTGGCGTATAAATGCGAGGGTACATATGATTGGTTAATTGGCATCTAGTTTCGGTTTCGCGCCATTAATGGCGTTGGACACCCTGAAGCGGGATTACTTATGAAATGACCTCTTTAATTATCTAACAGAAATAAGCATTTATTGTAATCAACGTCTTATTTGTTGAATATATCTTCATATTGCATTTAAATTCAATATACTTTGTCGAATTTCTCCTCCTTGATGCTTGGTAGGCCGTTTTATTTCGTTAATTGCTATCTGAACTAGAATTGCGAGATTCTCCAAATGAATATCTTTGGAGAAGATTAGAAGCTCTTGTTGAGTGCATGTTTTCGGAGACCCATGGTATTCCTATTCGCAATGTAAAAAACTTTTTGTCTGTGATTCCTAGCGTCTTCTCTGGTAAGTGTGGCTATTTGAAATCGTATTTTCTGCAGGAAGTGACATAGTTTTGTGGTTCATGGTCCACGCGGGGGCTGATGATGTAGCTGAAGCTGTGCACCTAGCTAGTCGAATTGCAGCTTATGGTTATCTCTTTCCAATAGCTGCTATGGATCACGCGATGGCTGTTCGCAACGATAGCCACACCTATTATCGTTTCCAAACACCCTGCCTTTACCCCTCTCGTTGTTCACAACATGAAACAGACACTACTGTTGACTATGCTGTCTACCTTTGCAAGCGAACAATGCAGAATAAGCACCGCCTTGAGTTGGCCGATTTTGAAGCTGAAAGATTGGCCAGTCTGCAAAGTCTTTACTACCACAAATGGGAGTTTATCTACATGCAGGTTTGTTTTAAGCTTATTATTTTGCCCACCGTAGATTCTTTACCTACCTACTATAATCGCGTTTTTTAGCACTTTCTAGTGGAGAAGGGGGGGGGGGGTTCAAATCATTAACTCCAAGTATCGTCTTAGCTCTAGCGAATGTTCCAGGTGGTTTCGATGATTCAACAATAGATTTTGAGGACTTCATGCCCGTTATTCTTGCGATGTATGCTAGATTTGAAAGGCTATATTTTCGGTATTTTATAAATAAAGTATACCGGCATCCTGGATTATATCGTATGAATTTTAATTTTTTGTTCCAATGTCACAAACATTATGTGCTTTAAGATGTTATTCACAACTTCTTTTGAAGATGGTCTCTTCAAGGTAATAGAGGTCCCATGTGAAACAATAAATTAAATCATTATTCCCTATTATATATAAACGACAAATATTAAAAATAGTAAATTGCAGCTCCTTATGGATAAGGTTAGTTTTAGAGACATTATTGTACGATCCCATTCATTATTAATCCTGTATCCAATTCATGCAACCCGAGAACTTGGTTTACCTACTACAAATCTATTGTTTTTTCACGACCCAGAGGTTAAAGATTGTCCTAAGTACTCTTAATTTCGTTGAATGCCCATATTAAGCTGGGGGGTTTGAAGTATTCATTCATGTTTATACTTTCGACTCAATTATAAAGATTGCCTCTAAGTGACCTTTCAGTTCCGCCAAGTAGACTAATATCACCGATTTCCTCCCAACAGGCTGAAGCAGAAATGAAAGTGGATAAGAAGCGAGATAAATTGGAGAGAATTGTCCTGGAGTCACAGGAGGCCGCCTTTTGGGATGTCCATAGACCAGCCCCGGGTTGCGTTAATACAACTGAGGTAGACATGCGCAAACTCTGTCGCGCTAAGAGACCCAAAAAGACTGGTCTCGCTGCTGGCCGTTTACACCCAATAACTTTCCCAATTCCTGTCTCTGCTGGCACCGCGGGGAACCTGCTTTTCTCCGTTCTTGAGGGCCTCTCTCCTGCTGAAAAGGTGACAAAGCTGAAGGCATCCGAACACAAGAGAATCAAGGCATCGAAAGCCATTGAAAATCTCCAAGTATAAACATTTACATTTACCTAATCCATCAATTGCAATTAGGTGGATAAAATGGGTTTTATCTAATGTATTTTTAGAACTATTGTGATCAGTACGTGGACTTCGATATGTTGTTAATGTGTGCGACATCCTCAACATCATCTGGTTATGATGGCAGCGGTGGTGGTGGTGGTTCAGTTGGACTCGGTGGTTCTTCCAGGACTGGAGGAGGCCCTGAGAATCCAGCTTCATCAACTGGAGCATCCTCGGTTGGATCTACGATGCACCATTTACTCCTTCCGAGGAAACCTAGTGCTGGAGTGAATGTCACTCATGGAGCTGTTGTGAATTTGATTCTTGGACCACCTCCGGGATCTACTGTGTCTGCTCTTACTGGTGAGTTGATTTTGTTCATTTTTATTTTAATCTCTTTAAGGCAGCTTTACTTTATTTTCGGCCTTTTCTGTGTTGCGATTTTAATTCGTATGTCATTAAGGCCTTCTATCGTTCATGGCAGTGAGCAGGCTGTAGAGATGTGATTGATTCTGCAGTATTTTGACTCTCAGCGTCGGTTGCGTTATGTGAAGTTGATTAAGCGGATTTGTTCTTGTAAGTCGCTATAGGTAAGTAGATGGCATATTCTTTCCTATATTCCTATATCCATCCATCTATTGTAAGAAATGAGTGATCTAGATCATCACCAGCCTATATTAAAATGACCTTTGTAATCTATCTGCACGTTCAGCTATAGAACAGCAATTAAGTAATCTCGAGGGGGGTCTATTACGTTCCTTTCTTGTTTCTTTGGCCTTAGGTGATGTTCAAACGGAAGTAGTGGGACAAAGCAATCCTTGGCTAGCAGACAATGCCACAGCGGCGGCGGAGAATTACTGGGGCTCTGTCTCGGCCGGTCTTGGCATCACGACATTGACTCTTGGTGGTAGTGGATCCAACGTTCAAATGGGAGAGCTCTCGGTTTCCCGTGTCAAACGCTGGTCATTCTCCTTCCAGGAACTCCTGAAGGACCCCTTGGGACGTGCTAAGTTTCAATGCTGGCTTGAAAAGGAATTCGCCGCTGAAAATCTCATGTTCTGGCAGGAGTGTCAAGTGAGCTTTTTTCACTCTAAGAAAATACTAAAACGAAATCGGTCGTTTTAAAAAATGGCACTGAGGTGTTGTTTTTAAAGTGTGTCTGTCATGCGAACATCATTTCCACCATCATTTGCAACTATTTTCCATTACTTTTTTATGGCACCTGCTCTTTTTTATCAAAATGGTCGTTCGGTTATCTTAGATTTCATTCACTTTTCAAAATACTCCTACTGCGAATATGGCAGAGAACCTCCTAATGCCCCCTGAAGTTTTTGAGAGGTCATTCCTGCTTTATGGGAGTGGAGCATCATAATGTGGAAGAATTATTTCTTTAATTTTGTTGAGTAAAGTTGCGGGTTAGTCTTCCTCGAATTCCCATTCCATTTAATTTACCGATGGGCTTCCAGTGTAATGGCAAGCGATTTTCTGCAATATTATTTCCTTCGCAGTTAATTGAGCATCTGATTAAACCCTCGGGCTTCAATAGGTGTCGTTAAGGAAATTTGTGGGTGATCCTGATTTAGTTGCATCATTTAAATTCCCATTGTCCGAGTTCAATCTTTTTTAACGAAATTTGGCATAAGCGGAGTGTAAAGAGTTGAACACAACTTTTAGAAATGGCTTTAGTGGCCTTGTAGACATCCAATATCTGTCTGACGTGGTCTCTGACTGGTGTTTGGCTGCACATTTTCACAATGTTACACGTTAATCTTATAAAGCAATTTGGTTATTGGAACATTGCCTTCGAGATTGCGGATTAGTTCTTTTAGTACATTTTTATATATATTATCTATCAATAAGTAAGGTAATAAAATGTATTTCATGAGTTTTCGGAACGCACTTATCGACTCCCGCTTTTTGCGTACCTCTAATTGCTAGATATCGACGGTGTTAATGTTTGGTCATCAGTCACATGGAAGTACCAACTTTAATCCCATCTGCCTAGTGTCTTTTTTAACTTCGCTATTTCCCTTGGCCTTTACGTGCGTTGAGGCTTTTTTCGTGCACTGTCACTTTCCTATTGTTTCAATTTTTCATTTCCTCTCATTTCTTCCTCGTGCGCGCCTGTTGGTATTTGGTAAGACTGAGTTCTGTTCCAGGCCTACCTCTTTCTTGGCCCTCGCAATCAACGTTACTTTATGGGTTGATTATGGTGTGAAATAAATCAGCTGTTTCGTCGTTGTTGAGCTTGTATTAGGGCTTAGTAATAATAAGTAGTATATAGGTGTGCGTAGGCTCTAGTCATAGATAATCCGCTGACGATGCCATGTCACTTGAAACATTTGGCACTTTTTTGTGAACTTATTATGAATGCCAATAGGAGCCTTAGCTACGCATTAACTTGGTTTTGTTGGTTTCAAAAACGCAGTTAGGGGGCAAAAGAAATGTTGGCATTATCTTTGAAAAAACTTATGCATCATGCGTTGTGATTTATGAGTTTAAAGTAACCTTCAGTAAAATTCCTTTTTTTCTCTTTCTTAATATTCCTTTTATTGGTAGGACCTGAAGAGTGCGCCGCTGCGGGAATTGCCCCAACGAATTCAATCGATCTATTCACAGTACCTTTCTCTGACTGCCCCTGAGCCAGTAAACGTTGACAGCAAAGTTCGTGAAGCCGTCTTTCGCCGATTGGGCCTCCTTCGCTTACTCCCCTCGATAAGTCAAGACATCGAACCAGGAATAGAGCCCCTGGTAGACGGTTCCCTTCTGGAACCTTCTTCTTTGAGCGCTACTGACACCACCTCAAAAACAGCCTCAGTTGCAAAAGTAGTTGGCGTAGGAGCCTCACACTCGGATCGCTACTGCTTTGAAGAAGCCGAGGAGCAGATATTCCAGCTGATGAAATCTGCCTCTTACTGTCGGTTTTTGAGATCAGACATCTATCGAGAGCTGTTCGCCAACTCGGCGACCAAAAAGAAACAATCTAAAAAACACCGTGTGACTGTTACTGGTTCGAGTGGTGGCAATATCGCACTTGCTGGAAACGATTGAGTGAACAGCTCAGAAGGAAAATGAAAGACGTCGGAATCTTCTCTGTGTGCAATACTAATTGTCTTGTCTCTTTTAATGTCGTCTTCGAAGATTCTAATCATTATTTTATGTGCTTTTGACTTAATAGATTTACAAAATTGAAGGCGTACTTAGTTTTGTTTCAGTTTAGTTTGTTGAAGATCTATTTTGGGCCGCCAAGTCTAATTAGTACGATGGTTATGTGGTGTGGTTTTCTTGGACCAATTCATATTTGAAGAAGTAGCGACAGTAAATTCAACTGGGATAAGGGACTGTTGAGCAATTTGATGTGCTTTGTTCTACCAGTATCGCATGCACATCATGGAGATAAGCTTGAAACGTGCGGACGCAAATTATGATGTATTTTCATGTGGTAATGATTAAGTCATTACATAGACTTGTTTAACACTTTGAGTTTTCAGAAGTATTCTTTATAGTAGGTCCCGGTCATTAGCATAGGAATGGAAAAGGAGAAATTGAAATGAAATAAATTAAAACGAGATAACAATTTATTAATGAATCACTTGGATATAGTTAAATTAAGTTATACATTAAACAAAAGCTATCTTCAAAGTACCAGTACGTACATGCAAATTTCACAAACCTCAAAAGGTTTATGCGTCGCAAAAATTTTAAGAGCAACTTAAAAAAGGGATAATCTATCCTATTTAAAATGTTTAAAACAGTAGAAGGATCGTCAGTAAATCAATGATATTTGCGTAAAATTCGAAAACGATCAGTCAGCAAAATATTATATCTAATAACTAATGAAAATTTCAAGTAAAATTATTGTTTGAAAATTTTAAATCCTTAAAATCGCTAGAAAATACACAGCTGATGTTTATTTAAATGGTTTTAGTGCATATCTAAAATTACAAGGTTTTAGTGAAGGTTTCGGTTCCTATGAGCTTATTTAAAGGTCGTGGCGCCATATATTTTTTTCTTTCACTTGAAATGCTTTTCTGTCCAGCTGATCAGGATTTTTATCACCCTTGGAAGAATGGGCTTAATAGATGTTTTCTTTGGACAATTTCAACTATCTTGTCACTATTAATTTCTGTTATTGCCTTAATTGTGTATGCTACATTTTTATGTCGAAATTCTCGTCGCTCAGAAAATAGAGTCAGATCATTTGGTTACAAAGTGCAGGTTTCACTATCCTTCCTTACAATTCTTGCACTAATCGCACATATTTTGACATTTGCCATTTGCGAGAGTAAGGACTCCAACTCTTCTTCTGGGTTTGTGATTTTATATGCTATCGGGATGCCTCTCTCGTGGATAGTGGCATTTTTTCTACTTATTCTCGAACGCAGACGAGATTGCCCCAGATTGTATTCTAACAGACATGGATTTCCTCTAATTTTATTCTGGACCGTCAATTTTGTTTTGATTAACCTTCCATTAACATCGATTGGTAATGGCTCCTTGTGGTGGAAACTTAACGAGTATGTCGTAGTTTAGACCTATGATTACTTATCTTTTAGTAATACGAGCAAAATTGAACTGGCGTTTTGGATTCTTGAATACGTTTGCATCTTGGTCGTATTTATTCTTGGGTTTATGGCTCCTGGTGCTGCAAATTATGCCGAACTTTACCATCATCTTAGGGATGAAAATGAAACTCCCCAAGTAGTTATTCCACCCACAAGGTGGCAACTTTTCAAGCGTCGAACTGTGATGCTTCTTCCCTTTGTATGGCCTAGGCATAGTATCTGTTTGCAGTTTAATTTTTTCCTATGCATTGGTATATTGGTTGTTAATCGAGTTGTCAACCTTTACGTTCCATTATTCTATCGAAATGTTGGTAAGTTAATTTTGAATTCGTAAACTTTAATTCACTATTGCTTTTAGTCAATAGTTTAACACCGAATGCTTCTACTAATCACAACATGAGCTCTGTTGTTGAACAGATGAGATCCGGAGACTTCAGTTATATTATGGCTACAGTTGTTGGTCCAAGTGGCCTGGTATTTCGGTGGGACCTTGTCCTCAGTTATATCGGAATTCGAGCGCTTCAAGGGGTTGGATCTCCTAGTTCTGGTTTGCTGGTTGCTTTGCAAAGTCAATTGTGGAATCCTGTGGATCAATATTGCACACGAATGTTGAGTGTCCATCTTTTCAAGCATCTCCAGTGGTGAGTTAGCGCCTTGAAACTAGAAAATTATTTTTCCTTCCACGAAGTCAAATTAACGTTAGGGTAAATATGCTTGCAAAAATACACTCTTCAACGGTCTCAATATATGCGAAGGTCGAATTGTTTTAAGCATTTGTTTGAATTACCTTAGAAACGAGTCTGGTATTTCAACATTTTTCTTATTTTTTTTATCTGCACCAAATTGGCTTCAGCTATTGAAGCATGAGCACAGTGGGTGAAGTTCTTATTGAAATATTTTTCATTATTTGACTTAAGACTGTATATATTTTTTCGTGTGAATTACTATAAACGCCATTAAAAATTGTCGCAGATCTAGTGGTTTAGTGCATCTTATTTTTTTACTTGGGGTGTGCAATAGACTTACCTCCACGTGGTGCACCCTGGGCAACGTATGCTCATACGGCAAAAAAGTCTATTAATCGGCAGTTGACTTCTGACTTCAAACTACCAAGACCCCGCCGCATTTCATATTCGACTAATTCCACAGTACTCACATTTTTCTACCTTTGTGTCTGTCTGTCTCTTTTACGTCTGTGAATCATTATTCTGTCCCCCCCCCCTCTCGACTTTTTGCCACTTTGGCGTTCGTCTTCCTTTCTGTGAAGCACGAAGTCAACTAAAGGGCTAATGATACCTATCATAACGCCTGCCATTTGAAATATATTTTTTTTTCTTTGAAGTTAATTATCAGATAACTGAGGACTGTGTCTGAAGACAGCATATTTGGTCCCCCCCCCCTTTCTATTAATCCATTTATTTCGATTTGCTGGTGTGGATCACGTCCATGCCAATGTCACTTGATGATACCGTTTTTATAAATAAAAAACAGTGAATCTACTAAATTTCTCTTGATAAGTGGAACCTTAGTTCCAACGCTCTCCTAATGCTGTGGTAAATCGGCCATTTATTCGAAGGGTTCGTCGCTTAATCGGAATTTGAGTGCACTGGACGCTGTTGACTGAAATAGTGGATGATGGCTTGGTGGATGTTAGACTAGTTTGGAAGTTCTTTTTCTTTGCCTTTGCCTTCCAAATTTATTTGATCTTATAATAGCGTCATTGTTTCTTTGTGTTGGATAAAATGGTAAACTTTTATTTAATTTAAGGAATCTAAATTATCTATTTGACATGTTTTTTTTAATTCTATTATTAATTATGTTAAATTTTACATAATGTTTCAATTAGCTAGCGTTATGGGTCGTTGCTGGAGATAGTGCCAAGAAGATCGAAATGCTTGCTTGAATTGGCGCATATTAGGAGGCTTCCACTGGCAAAACACTTTGATTTGGCAATACCCCGTTTATGTTCTTGTGTTTCAGGTAGTTTATTTGTTATGCTGTATCGCACGCCTGGTCTTGACCTGTTCGTTTTAGGTCATTTTAGGGTCAGTTTTGATTCGTGGAGAATCCTACTTATTTACGAGTTCTACTTCCATGTCCAGGTGCTTGCAGATGTCTGCAGCTTTTTTGTGTTGTAAATGAGGCAAAGTTTGCTTTCCTCGCTGCAATTTTTTCTCAAAATTGCGAGATGTGTGGGAGTAATTAACATTAGCACTTACCTCGAAGTCTCTGCATTGGACTTACTGTAGTCTACTTTTGCGTATGCGTTCAATTTTAACGCCCAATGCCTACTTTTTCATGATAGAAATACTGTGGCCTCTGAAATTATCAACATACGTGTTGGTGATGATTGATTTGAATTAATTAAGTAACCTCATCGATGGATGCAAGTATCTTTATGTACATTATATCTTAATGGACTACCTTCGGAATTCCAGTCATGGATACTATTCGACAATTTAATAAAATAGGCGCTAGTATCTGGGCGTCAAACTTCACCCGCGCTCCCATTGACTAATGTGTGATCCTTTTAGTGTGTAAATGGGTGCTGATTCGGTTGACTTTGTATTGTTCACATCAAATCACTGCGTCTGTCAGGTTTAGCCAATTTTTTTGGGTTCGGGAAGTATTGTGCCTCTTTTCAGTCTTCATCGCCTCTACGTGTTTTCAATTTTTGTGTTTTTTGAGGTTAGTGATTTGAGAGTTAAGGAGTTAACAGAGTCCCGCTCGAGATGGTTGCTGAGAGGTGCTCAGTGAATAAACCGTTTTCTCCTCTCTCCTTCTAGCCAATCAATGGCTTGGCACTTATCTCGTGAGACGGGTGCAATGCTGCGCATCGTAGATCGTAGTACTTCCAGTGTCTCCTCTGTGCTCAATTACCTCTCCTTCAGCATCTTTCCAACTATCGTGGATATTCTTGTGGGTGTTGTCTATTTCATCACGGCTTTCAACTACTGGTACGGTCTCATCGTCTTTATCACTATGGGTTGCTACATCGGTAAGGATTCCACGTTCTTTGCCTATCTCATTGTTATCGTGTTTACCAACCAATGGCTTATGAAATTTTTCCATTTTTTCAAGAATTTTTGTTGCTCATTGCTTAACTCCCAGTAGTATCGGATATATATATATTGTTTATTAAGGCAACATTTATTGGGAAACTCCTTCTCTGCTTTTATTGCTTATGTGGAAATGTTTTGGTTAATTTAATTAGCCCTCCCTTTCTGTTACAATATGTGGTAAAACAATTTTCAAATTGCACATAATCTGAAAATACTCATTCTATGAACTAATTTGCTGTTTTTTCTTCTTTAGTTCTTACAATTATAATTACGGAATGGCGTACCAAACACCGTCGAGACATGATCGAATATGACAATGCTATAAGTGCTGTGGCTATCGATTCCCTGATGAACTTTGAAACCGTATACTCAATTATACCTTTTTTATGTGACTCTTAATTTAATTAACTCACTTTTTCGATACTTTTTCATTCTTCAGGTGAAATATTACAACGGCGAGGCTTTTGAAGTCGAGCGCTATAACCAGGCGATTATTAAGTACCAGCGCGCGAATTGGATCAACCAATCATCGCTCTCCCTTCTCAATGTCACCCAATCGATTGTCATTACATTGGGCCTCCTGGTGGGCACCCTTCTTTGTGCTCGAGATGTCGTCATCGGTGCCCTCACTGTTGGAGATTTTGTCCTCTTCTGTAGTTACATTCTTCAACTTTACATGCCACTCAACTTCTTTGGCACTTATTATCGGTAAGGTGGACTCTGATAGCTGTTTCTTTTTGTTGCTTTCACTTGGAAAGTGGATAAATCTGCACTTATAATGTGCATTTTGCGGCTTCTAGGTTAATGCAAACGAGTTTTGTGGACATGGAGAAAATGTTTGAGTATCTTGAAAAGGGTAGTGAGATCAACGATGTGCCGAATGCTCCCGATCTGACTGTCACTGGTGGCAAAATCGAATTCAAGAATGTCAACTTCTCGTACATTCCCGAGTAAGCAGACCTCGGAGTTGCGTGTTTACGTTCTGAATTTTATTGGTGGTGTCTGAGTGTCCAATTCCATTTCATGACTCTTGGCAGACTTCATTCTATGGTTGCTATGTCCAATATTCAGGCTTGTACTTGTTTACACTAATTAGTAGTAGTTTCGCTTTGGAGCTTCAATGGAAGTGCTTATTCTTTTCACCCCACCTCCCACCCCCTCCTTCTCTAACCTCCTCCAACGGTACTTTCTTGTTTAGGCGCCAAGTCCTTAAGAATGTCTCTTTCACTGTCGCGCCTGGAAAGACTGTCGCCTTGGTAAGTTTGTTTACTAATCTCCTCTGTTTGAGTATGTTTCCGTATGCGTGGCTTTTTGGCAAACTTGCTGTGAAATGTAATGTTTAGTATAAATATGAACCGTATTCTATTGGCCAATCATTTTCTAATCAGCACTTTGACTTTGTATTGTCAATATCTCTCAGATCGTGTATACTGCCGCATTTAGTATAGTTATCAAATGCATACATAGCGTACATAGTTTTCTCCGGCGAATAAGTTGTTCGTGATTTTGTTTAATTAATACGGTAATGTATATATATATTTCATAATATACTTAATAAAAATATGAAAGAAGTCATCAGTGGAATTTTTGGAGATAAATTGTAAGACTGGGCTAACCGAACTTTAAACTAAAACATCCTAATTTTAGCAGAATGTTTCGTTAAGTTTAACCTACATCATGGCGTAAATTAATCTATCCGAAAATAGGAAACTTTTTTCTTAAGGTAAAGAAGATTTTACCTTATT